GTTTCTTGTAAGGCCGTTTTCCCCACTAGGAAGATGAAAGAAGTCCACCCGCAAGATCCTGGTTCTTGGTTCTGAACGCAAGTATAGAGAAGACAGTACTGGGACTTGCTGACAACCTAACTCGTTACGAACGAATTCGTCTGGGACCCCTGGCGTGCAAACCAAGGGGGACCTCAAACGAGGGGATCATCATCCCTCAGGCTCACCAAACAACTGGTACACAACGCAGTCCGCGACCGTCGACCAAGACACACATCGAATTGGACAGCCTACAGCTTTACATTCCGGTAACGAATATGAGAGACAATGGATGATGCCTCAGAAACCGAAGCTAACAATCAACCGAACAACAGTTGATCGCAATACGTCTCTTTGAAGCCCTTCTGTGTGAACGGGTCCGCGGCTGCGCTAGCGTACCATTTTTCTTCGGTAAAAAGTACATGGGAGCGGGGCTGAAACGTAATGATATTTCCGTACTCCACCTGCGCTCCTCAATGCGCAGCACTTGCATCGCTACCAAGGTTCCACAGCGAAATACGTACTCAGTGGTAGAGAATAGCTAGAAGTGAGAGGGCTAAACCAGTAGCGCGTTCGGCTACGATTAGGCGGCTAGTTGACCGGGCGACAGCGCTGAGAAGTATGGAGACGGCATCCAGGTATCACCACCCCTCAGCCCCTTCCTGTGCATATTTGAACGGAAAAAGTGGCACGCTACTGCGGCTGCGGACCGATTCTCTCCACATAGTGCAGGGATCAGAATCCACAGGGGTAAGGGTGGTTTGTTTCCGAGAGTCAGTGGTTTTATGGGCTCAGCACACAATCACGTTTCACAAGCAATCTGATTGGGAACCAAGTACGTTATTTGAAGACACGGCCCGCGATGAAAAGCCTAGGTGATTTGTAGAAATGTGGAAGAAAATTCGTCCAAGTGAACCATCTATGACGAGAAAATGCTAAAGGGAAGGCTAGGGGAGGCTGAGGAATGCGTTGTAAACGCATTCGTCAGCCTCCTCTAGCCTCAAACAACTGCAGAGGTAAAGACCGAAAAGACCGCGCGCTGGGACAATTCCCGTCGGCTGATTCCCAGTAATGAACCCTATGACTCTACAAGGGACATTTTATGCATCCACTCCATAATACTTGCATTACTTTTGGCTAAAAGTCCGACTTGGAGGCGGAGTCTGGAGGCGGAGTCACTGGAAAAAGGGATGTACCACTGAAGCAACTTTGCGCCTTAATCCCTTTACCGTACAACTTTCCGCCGCGAAACTGGCACAGGGTTGTCCACTCCGGACCGCACTACCTTCCCACATAACCTCTTGCATTTTCATAAGGTCATCGCGGACCGCTCCTTCAAACCAGTGGTGAAAAGCCTCAAGTTGAGACAGTGTGTTTGACTCAGGGGCTACCGATGATCAAAAGCAAAGATGTAGGCGATCCACATGTGAGTCGCCGTCTTTCGATATTTCAACAATGAACCTCTCGTGTCGTGGTTTTTGCACTGTTACATTCACTAGAGATCGTATTTCGCTGTGAATTGTTCACAATGCAGAGTTTCAGCCGGGTTGTCGTTGTTTGTGAAGTAACGGTTCCGAATAGTAGTCCCGCCACTGTCCTCATCGTAATTGTATGACTCCCAAAACTGAAAATTCCTTCACTGGACTCTGAATCAGGGCACATCATTAGTTGGGGATTTTGGTCGAGTCCGTACGCCCCCCCCCCTTTTTTTCCATATGAGGTTGGTGCTTCCCCCCCCCCCCCCGATTTCCTACGCATCCAGCGAGGGGGGGGGGCGAGGGGGTATGTAGTACACATGAAGCAGTGGAAGAGGAAAAATCACAGTCAAGCA